TGATTTTCGCCTATCCAGCACTTTTGACTGCTTTGCATAACGCTCGAGCGGGTAAGTCTACGCTCGAGCGGAAACCTTTGTCTACATGTCCGCTCGAGCGGTTTAACATACGTTCGAGCGTGACCCCTATTTTCTGAAAAGTCTGAAAATGCTTTTAAAAGTGCACCTTTGCATCCTCATCTCATCCTAGGCATTCTTAGGCCTAGTTTAAGACATCTCAATGATGATATAGATATAGAAACACACCGAGGCAATTAGGGATTAAGTTATTATTTTCCTCAATGTGTAGCTTAGTGTGTGTTAATCTGTAACTGTATAGGTTTGGCTTTCTGATGAGACACCCTAGCTTACTGTAGCCTAGAACTCTGTGAGTAACAACTGTGTAATGATATGTTCAAAATGATTATTTTCTGAACAATTGAACTGTACTGCTTTCTGAACTGTTACTGTTAATTGAATGAATGTATGTCCTATATTCTGAACTGTATTGTGGCATCCTTAGCAACTACTGTTTACTGTTACTGTTACAGAGATCTCTGTCGGTTCCCTCGTTGAAACCACTACTGTTACTGACTGATGGCCATCATTTACTGCTTGGTCTTTTAAGACCTACTGTTTGCTGTACCGTTATGCTAATGGATGTACTACATATGACTGTACTGACTGAACGACTGAAATACTGGTTTAATTAACTGTTTTCATTACTGTAAGGACATTCATTCTTAACCCCTTTACGCATTGTGTTATTCACTGGGCTTTAGCTCACTGCTTATATATATATGTAGGTGTCTAGGCACCAGACCGCAGTTAGGAGCGTCGGGGTTAACTCCAGTTTTGTCAAGCCAACCTATGTGCCTCAATGCGAGGTTCCGAGCCTGTCAAGCTGCGGCTTAGGGGTGTTTTTAATTTCCCCGTCTGTCTCTATATCTGTTTGTTCGGCTGTATAAACTGTATTGTACTGAATGATTATATATATGTATATACTGTTTTGTCTGACTGTATATATACGAATGAGAAGTCTTTTTGCATACAGACTGGCACAGCTCATTGGACACTGTTTACTTACTGTATTGGCTTCCGCCAGCCCCTGTACTCTGTATTACTGTATTACTGTTAAGACCTCTAAACCGCACCGATCCGTACCATGCACACCTCTATTATATATACATAAATATTTTAAAAATAAGACTTTATGGGTTAAAAATAATGAAGCAGGATTTAATAGAACACCAACCTTACCAATAAGACTTTTAGGTAATTAATCTATTTTTATTTTTATTTGTGAAATTTAAAATTTTGAAACATAGTTAAGGGGAACTATCAAATAAGATCTCACTTAAATATATAATTTTATAAAATAAAAAATAAATTTGACAGTATGAATGTTCACATTGACAGTGTAAATGTTGAACATTCACATTAGGTAAATTTGGCAATGTAAATATTCACATCATGAATCATTCACACTGTCAATATGAATATTAATGCGCGCTTCATCATATTATTATTAATAGTATTTTGATAATTATGTCGCGCATAGAACTTATTAAAATATAAAAAAATAATTCAAACTAAAGTGGAATAAAAGTAAGTGAAGAGAGATTTATGAATAAATATCCATTTATATATGATTTAAATTATTCAAATTTTGAATAACAAATTATTATTATTAAATTAGTCTTCAATTGTCATGACCCGAACCCGCTCCCGTGGGCTAAGGACATAACTATCCAGTAATCATGAGATTACCTACGGCCTCAAACCAAACCAGACGTATTTCAACAGAGTTAACAGGGGCCAAACGGAAGCAATTTTAAAACTTTGTCCATAGAGCTGTACTTATATGCACATTATAACATTCCAAACATACATATGTTAATAACTCACAACAGAAAGTATAGTAACATAAAGTTCTATACAGACAGGATCATTCAAATCTAAGTCAGCCAAAACAAAGCTATATGCAGACGTACACCAAAGTCCTCGCCAACATGACAAAATAACATAGAATAGTAAAAGGGCGAAGACATGTCTCGTGTGTGAGACGCAAGGGCTGACTCTTCACAACCTTAGTTGTTCCAAACAGACTTCACTGGGGGGCTGGGTTTGGACTCCTCTTGGCTCACCTAAAAACACATGAATGAGCGTGAATGAAAGCCCAGCGAATAATATCAAATAAAGAATATACATTGGAACAATATACATCAAACGGCCTTGGGCCCAATTTACATTTCTACTAATACATACATACATAGACATATGTAAGTTAAGTAGCTGCGGTTCCAAACACATCATACGGCCTCGAGCCCAATTCATTAGTGTCAAACTGTTATTCGTGTCAAACTGTCATTCGTGTCAAACTGGCTTTTGGCCTTTTCAAACTTCCATATCAAACTGGCCTTTTAGGCCTTTCAAACTTTCATATCAAACTGGCATTTTAGGCCTTTCAAACTTTCATATTAAACTGGCCTCTGGCCCATTCATGCCTGTCAAACTGGCCTCTGGCCCATTCATGCATGTTAAACTGGCCTCTGGCCCATTTATGCATGTCAAACTTTCATTTGCATCAAACGACCTTCGGCCCAATCATTCATGTCAATCGGCCTTCGGCCTAATCATTTATGTCAATTGGTTGTCCATAATTCAAATTAGCAAACTTGTAAAGAAATAAGCAATTGGACAATTGACAAACTTTAAAATAACGACATTACTCACAGTGATCAGCTTGTGGATTTGCCCTAGAGCTTGACCCTACATATCACATAACACATATGGGTCACAAATAATTCAATCCGTTCTTTAATTCACATATTCCTCTTTAGGCTTCATTCTTATCTCTTTAACTCAATTACAATGCTCAATGCATGCCTAAGAGTACTTAGAAGTGAAAGATGACGGAAAATGAAACTCAGAATACATTTTCAAAATTTCAGAAAACAAGGTCCCCGCTCGAGCGTGGACTCCCCCGCTCGAGTGGACCCATGAGGTTTGCAAAAGTTCTGGTTATGTCAAATCCACGCTCGAGCGTGAACTCGGCCGCTCGAGCGGAATGTCTGTCTACATAGCTCCCCGCTCGAGCAGACACCATGTCTGCAGAAAATGCTGGGAGCACGAAATTCACGCTCGAGCGGCGGTTTCCCCGCTTGAGCGGACATCAAAATTCTGGAAAACCCAGAATTGTTCTTGGGCTTCAATTTCGATGTTCAAAGGCTTCAACTCATGATTTTGGTCCCAAAAACATATAAACACATTACATTGCATGAGAGTGTAAGGTTATTATATCAAATTATTCAAAATCAACATCTAATCTTCAAACAACTCTTATTTCCTTAGTAAGAACAAAACCCATATATTTCAAACTTCACATGAGCTCCAATTCTTCAAAAAAAACAAACATGCATGTAGGCTAGGCTTCCAATTTGAGTTCAAATGGTACAAATAAAGCTTATGATCATGGAACTTAGGAAAACCATGCATGCATGTGAGATTTGGTGCTCCATTCTACATATTTAACAAGCTACATGCTTGAACACACAAAATTGTAACAATTATACACATGCATGTTCATATAGGCTCCCAATTCATCATAATCAACATAACTCTTGCTCTTGATCACATATTCCCTTTGAATTTACATGATTACAAACTCAATTTCATGAATCTACTCACCTAGGAGCTTTAATCTTCGCAAATGGTAGTTAAACTTTGAGCTTAGCCTTTCAATCTCACAAACTTGAACCAAAATGCATAATTCCTCATTCTCTTTCTCTTAAACCGGCCCTCTCTCTCTCTCTCTCTCTCTAGAGAAATCTCAGCCAAATGAGAGAGAGTGAGTTCAAAACAATAATATAAGGCCACTTATATACCTTGGCCTAATCAATTTAATTAAGGCTAAGTAATTGGGCTTAATTTAATCGTTTCGAATCTAATTATTTTATTTCGAATCAGTTTCTAATTAAATTTCACCGTAGGCTCTAAAAATTACGCTAATCATAATGGCGTAGTCAATTTCAGTTTCGGTGGCCGATAGGGCCTTCAATTTAATTCCCAAAGCAGACCATCAAACAGATATTCCTATGATGAACAGATAGAAATTCAAAACCACGTATATTTACATAAATGGTACACAAAATCATATCAAACACGTAATCATATGCATAATGAGGACCAATTAACATAATTCGGGACAAGGTTATCACATCAATAGTAATTGATTTGTATAATTATATGCAATTGAATCATATCAACATAAATTAGAAACTTTAAGAATTAAATAAAATAAATAAATAATTTAGAAATGAAATTAAAGAATAATAAAAGAATTATTAGATAAAAGTGAAACTAACACTTTATGCCGAGAAAGAATTAAGACGTTATTTTCGTGGATGATTTTGTTTAATTTAATTTTTCAAAAAGATTTTCATTTTTCTTTATTAAGTTTTTTATATTTTAGTTATTATTTTTTTATTTTACAAATACGTAAAGATTAGATTCATTCAAAAAGTTTAAAAAAAAATACTAAAATATAAAAAAATCATAAAAATAAAAGGAAATCTGAACAAAAATTCTCATTTAATGTGTCTTTTAAAAAAAATAATTAATATTTTAGTCAATTCAGTTTATTTTTTAAAACAACTAAATTACGTGTATTTAAAAAATATAAAAATTTATTAAAATATGATACTAAATTTAATATAAATAAATAAAAATCTCTTTATAAATAATTTTTGAAAAATCAAACCAAGTTTGCAGTCTCTTCACCTGATGGACATGGGATTTTAGCTAAATTCATAATTTTGCTTCCGAATTTACACTTACTGCTTTTCGATGCGCTTTCTAAATCCCAATCTAAAATGTTGTGCAAATTAGAATTCATTTCATCTCATGAAAGCTGGGAAGTTGTGCAACTTAGGCCAAAGAAGCCAAGAACTACTTTATGTTTCACTCTCAAAAGCTTTATCTTCAGCAACAAGTTCTAGACAGCTCTACAAACTTCTCTTCACCTATGGCAACGATGGACATGGGATTTTAGCTAAATTCATAATTTTGCTTCCGAATTTACACTTACTGCTTTTCGATGAGCTTTCTAAATCCCAATCTAAAATGTTGTGCAAATTAGAATTCATTTCATCTCATGAAAGCTGGGAAGTTGTGCAACTTAGGCCAAAGAAGCCAAGAACTACTTTATGTTTCACTCTCAAAAGCTTTATCTTCAGCAACAAGTTCTAGACAGCTCTACAAACTCCACTCACTCATAATCACTTCTGGACTCGACCAATCTATCTTCTTCTCCGGCAAACTCATCAGCAAGTATGCCCAATTCAAGGACCCAGTTGGTTCTTTATCTGTCTTTCGACGTGTTTCGCCTCCTAACAGTGTTTATCAGTGGAACTCAATCATTAGAGCACTGACCCATAATGGGTTGTTCTCTGATGCTCTGGAATTTTACTTCCAAATGCGGAATTTGGAGCTTAAACAAGATACATACACATTTCCTTCGGTTATCAATGCTTGTGCCGGTTTGTCCGATTTGGATATGGGTAGGATTGTCCATAATCATGTGTTGGAAATGGGTTTTTGCTCAGATTTGTATATTGGCAATGCTTTAATTGGTATGTATTCAAGATTCAATGATTTGGATATGGCACGACATGTGTTTGATGAAATGGCTAGTAGAGATGTTGTTTCTTGGAATAGTCTGATTTCGGGGTATAGTTCAAATGGGTTTTGGGAGGAAGCAATACAACTGTTTCACCAATCAAGAATGGTTGGTGTGATTCCTGATTCTTTCACTGTTTCAGGTGTTTTACCTGCATGTGGAGATTTGGTTGCTGTTGAAGAAGGTCAGATAATTCATGGGTTGGTTGAAAAAATGGGCATTAAGAAAGATGTCATTGTAAGCAATGGGCTTCTGTCTATGTACTTCAAATTTAATAGATTAACAGATTGCAAGTTAATTTTTTCTGAGATGGTTGTCCGAGACACGGTTTCTTGGAACACTGTAATTTGTGGGTACTCCCAATCAGGCTTGTTCGAAGAGTCAATCAAGTTGTTTTTGGAGATGGAGGATAATTTTGAACCAGATCTTTTAACTATTGGTTCTGTCCTCCGTGCTTGTGGTCAAATTGGTGACTTGGAGTTGGGAAAATATGTCCACGACTACATGATAAGGAATGGGTATGAATGTGATACCACAACAAGTAATATTCTTATTAATATGTATGCAAAGTGTGGTAATTTGTTGGCATCAAGGGAAGTTTTCGACAGAATTAAATTCAAGGATTTGGTATCATGGAACTCATTAATCAGTGGTTATATTCAAAATGAATGTTTTGAAGAAGCAATGAAACTTTTGAGTAAAATGAAGGTGGATCTAAGACCTGATTCTGTCACGTATGTGATGTTATTATCTATGTCTGGTCAATTAGTAAGAATACATCATGGGAAGGAAGTACATTGTGATATTATAAAAATGGGATTTGACTCAAGTCTGGTTGTGGGTAATGCACTCATTGATATGTATGCTAAATGTGGCAAATTGGAGGATTCATTAAAACAATTTGAAAACATGAGAGATCGTGATATTGTAACGTGGAATTCAATTATTACTGCATGTGTTCATTCTGAGGATTACAATCAAGGATTCAGAATGATCAGTAGAATGAGAATTGAGGGAATGATGCCAGATCTGCCAACCATGTTAGCTACCTTGCCTATGTGTTCCTTTCTTGCTGCCAAACGGCAAGGGATAGAGATCCTCATCTGCACATTTTCAAGTTACGGATTCAATCAGATGTTCCGGTCGGGAATGCACTAATTGAAATGTACTCAAAATGTGGTAGCTTGAAGCATTCACTCCTAGTATTTGAGCAAATGAAAATGAAGGATGTAGTGACATGGACAGCATTGATCTCTGCATATGGAATGTATGGTGAAGGCAAGAAAGCTTTGAGAGCTTTCGAGGAGATGGAAGCAACAGGTATTGCTCCTGATCGTATTGCCTTTGTTGCCATCATATTTGCATGCAGCCACTCGGGTTTGGTAGATGAAGGTCAGGCTTACTTTGACCATATGAAGAAAAAGTATAGAATTGAACCAAGGATTGAACATTATGCTTGTGTAGTTGATCTTCTATCACGATCTGGACTTTTAGCTGAAGCAGAGGAGTTCATTCTTTCTATGCCATTGAAACCAGATGCAAGTATATGGGGAACTTTACTTAGTGGTTGTCGAGCAAGCGGAAATGTCAAGGTTGCGGAACGTGCTTCTCAACATATCATTGAATTAAATTCAGATAATACTGGGTATTATGTGTTAGTGTCAAATGTATATGCAGCCTTAGGAAAGTGGGATAAAGTAAGAATGATACGAAAATCCTTGAGAAATAAAGGACTGAAAAAAGACCCTGGATGTAGCTGGATGGAGATTCGAAATAAGGTTTATGTGTTTGGTACTGGGGATAGGTTCTTCGAACAATATGAAGAGGTTAATAGGTTATTAGAGATACTTGCTGGTTTAATGGCCAAGGAAGGTTATGTTGCTGATTTGCAATTTGCTTTGCATGACGTTGAGGAGGATGAGAAGAGAGACTTGCTTTGTGGCCATAGTGAAAGGCTTGCGATAGCATTTGGATTGTTAAACACAAAACCAGGAACACCTTTGCAAGTGATGAAGAACCTTAGGGTTTGTGGGGATTGCCACACTGTGACTAAGTATATATCAAAGATTGTGCAACGAGAATTATTAGTTAGAGATGCTAATCGTTTTCATTTGTTCAAGGATGGAACCTGTAGCTGTGGAGATTACTGGTGATGGATTTCTTTGCTCAGTCATGCCTTTGATTGACTGCAGATTATCTCTGCACTAGAAAAATTAAAGAAATATATATGTGCTATATGGGATCTATAACCAATGGTTGAAGGTCAGACTGACTGGCTTGATGCCATGCTCAGTTTTGGTGGATTTTTATGACTATTTTTTGTATAATTTTTTTGTTATTTTTTCAATCACAGGAATGATCAAAAGCATCAGATTCAAGCTAATACTAAATTTCAGTACATCATGTTGTGTCAATCATCTGGTATGTATGTGAACACTCTTTTGTTTTTCCTTTCATATGTTTTTCATGAATAGCTGAATTATTTGGGGGGTGGAATTGTGAATCATCTAAAGTGTCTTGGGGTTTGGAAAGGGGTGGGGCAAAGAGAAATCTTATTGGATCATTTTGTTTACCTTGTAAAGTTCTTTTTGTGGGGCCAACATTGCATAATGTCCTACGTGGATGGAGTGCTTCCATCATTTAATTTTATTGCTAATTAAGTTTACAGAAGCAGGAGCCTTAAAGTTTTACAACCATTAAGTCTTATTACAGCCTCCCTATTATCTTAAGCTTTTATAGCAATTTGTTGTTAACAAGTGCCAACTAACAAAGTTTCAAAATGACACTTAGGTATACTTATCTATACTTATTTTTCAATCATCTGCTATTCTAGTTTTTATTTTGGGAAAATTTGACTTTACCTCCTTCTTGTTTACTCCATGTGTGGTTTGCCCCAATGACATTTGAAAATAAGCACATAACCCCCTGTGGTTTATAGATTAAAGTGCAGCTTCTGTACTGTTAACGGCATATCATTGTACATAAGTAACCTCATTGTCTAAAACCATGGGCATTTTTATCATTTTAGTGGTAATCAAAATGCACTTTGTGCTTTACTCCATTTGTGGTTTGCCTCCTATCATTTGGATAAGAAGCACATAACCCCTTTATGTCTAGACATGTATTTCACACTTGCTCTTAACTTGGATAGAATTTCTGATAGTGCACTTTAGGCCACAAACCACAAGGGGTTATTTGGTTATTTCCAGAAGATAAGGGAACAAACCGCTTTTATTTTTTTCATTTTCCTCATGATACTTTCCTAATCTCTTTGAATAATTAGCTATTCCTTGGATCTCGTATGGATTCAGATTTTGGTCTAAATGAAAAGGCAACACAGTTTGAGGACATAACTAGTGAAGAAAATGGATGGTTATTTGATATTAGCATTTCCTGGTGCATATCTTTTTCTTCTTTTTCTGCCAAGCATGAAAATGCCGGAGGGCTCCTATTTATACATAATAATGCCAAAGGTTATCTGTATCTACTCCACCGCTCTTAGCATCCCGCATTGGCAAGACCAACACTAGGTAATAGGCTAATAGCCTTTCTCTTCCTTTCTAGGAAAATTAAAGGCGTCTGTCTGTTTTTGCATTGTTTCACATCCTGTTTTTTCCTTTTGACATTACCCATTTCTTAGTTAAATTTTATTTTATTATTATTATTTTTTAAACTTAATGAAATAATTCACACGTATTCACACCAAAAGCCAAAATGTCCAAACCCACAAGCACACTAAAAGGGCCTAACTTTTGGATGAGTGATGGCAAACTCAATTGGGTGGAACAAATAGCTAATGCGGACAATTCTGTTTGTTTTTCAGTGCATCATGAAGGCATTGGAAAAACTGCATCTTGTAGACAGAATTTGAAAAATGCTTTCGGAAATATTGTTTAAATTTCTTTTTCCTGTTGTATTTGTCTCTTTCATGCTTTATAGCCCAGATTTTCAGGAACAAGGCTTTGATGTAGTCTGCTTCTTGTTTTGGGAATATTTCAATTTTTTGGGATGTGATTCTGTGTCTCATACGTGATGCATAAGCATTCTTAACCCTGTTGAATCAAAGTTTGCTTATTATTCTTCACAATTGAGATATAGTATAAAAGACGAAGAAATCACAATGAGCTGAAGGTACAAAAGATTTGTGTGACTTAGAGCTAAGAAGTTAATGCGAATTATCCTATTGTATAAGTTGAATTACTAACAAAAGCAGTTCGGATAAGGCATAACTGATGATTTAGTCATGCATTATTTATTTATTTTTATTTTTTTTTGTGCGGATAAACACAGAACAGAACCCTATATATAATTCATGATTCAATCATTCAAGGCTGATGCACCAACATACAAAGATTTTCTTGAGATGGAATGGAAGCATATCATTTAGTCTTCATTCATACGATTGTATGAGCTTTTACAAACTGTTTCATTTAGGTGCACCTGTTGCAAGGTATGTCTCGCGAATGGCTTGAAACTTAGTGACTAGCTTGTCATGAGGTGGCCAGTTTTCTTTTATTACTGGAACATCTGAAAAGTTCTGCATCCACTTGAACAACAATGGAAATTTCTCTGCATCTATCAACTTTAGACCCGTAACCACTTCTAATACACTGACCAGATTAGCGATACAACCAAATGCAATATCTACTAGTCCGATTGTCTCTCTGCTGAAAAATTCCTTTCCCTTTAGCTCTTTTTCTATTAAGTTCAGGTTCTCTTATGTGGAGGAAATAGCCTCCTCTTGCTATTCCTTGAGTCATAAAAGCATTTTGCATATTGATGGCAAAAGCTACATTTGAAAGGAAAAAAATAGTAAGGGTCTGTTGATTAGAATGAAAATGATGGTGGAAAGTGAACTTGGTAGAAAGTGAAGTGAAAGAAAGGAAAATTTATTTTCTTGCATGCATTTGATTAGAATTTTAAAAATTATTACATTTTAGATAAGTTTTCACTATCCATTTTAGACAAGTGGATTGAGCCATGGGCAAATTTGGATAGTGTGATAATTGTTCCCCATGAAAAAATTTCATGAATATTTTGTGGGAAGCCAAAATCTAAAGTTAGAAGCTTAGGATGAATTACAAGGGCAGTCAAAAATGTCACATGTGATGATCAAAACAGTAGTAAGCTAAGTACAATACTATCCTGCCAACTTCAGTAGTTCTTATATGAAAGTATTTCAAAATCTCCACTATACTTTAAATAAAGTGATTAAAATATATATGTTTTGATGAGTTATATACTGAATATTTTGATTTAGGGGCAAGTTGATCAGGGCATGCGTAAGGCATCAGTGACTCTACCTTATCGTCACTGAATTTTGCCCAAAAACGAGCTGTGGCTCTTTCATAAGGATCTTCAGGTAATAAAGCAGTCTGCTTCCATGTATCCTCGATGTATTCAAGAATTACAAGAGATTCCGAGATTGGTTTTCCATTGTGCACGAGGACTGGAACTTTTTTGTAGACTGGATTATACTCCAGAAGTAGAGAGCCTTTGTGGGAAAGATCCTCAAATATGGTTTCATATTCTATGCCCTTAAGTTTCAATGCCCAAACGATTCTCAGAGCAAATGGACTTGACCACGTCCTGAAAAGCTCGACTTCTGCCATTTTTTCGTTTCTTTTGACAGGCAAAATACTGATAGCTGAGGTCTTTTATACACTTCACAAATTTTCGGGATGCTTTTGATCTCTGCCAAGTGTAAATTGTACAGAAGTTATGAATAAAAACATGCCGATATTAAGATTCTTTTGTTTTGTCCTAGTTTCGAACATAAGTTTCTACGTCGGCTGTGAAGTTATTCTCTTTTGTAATGATTCTTGTTCGACATACATGCTTTGGCTTCTATATGATTGGCTTTGTGATCAGGACGGCAGGGTCTGGTATTAACTTTCTTGATGTTGTTTTTAACCTTAAGGTTATGGTTTCAAGTCTTGGGGCCACCACTTTGTACATTATGCTAAAGGTTAGGTGTGTACTCAATCTTTCCCCTCCCAAACACACATTAATGTGTACTAATTGGGCGTTGCTTTTTTTATGTTGTTTTTAACAAGTTTTAGTTTTTTGTTTTCTGGTATACTGCATGATCACACAAATCAATTTAAATCTTTTTTTTTTTTTTTTTTTTTTGTGCGCACGGGGGGCGTGTTTTTATATATTTTGAATGTACATAGAGCATTACTTTCTTGTGGCACTTGGAATGATGGCTTCATTCTGGTGAAGGGATTGGGAAAAGTTATGGACTTGATAGTTGTTGGGAAATGTTTCCGTGTGTATTGCATATCGTATATAATTCTAGTACAAAATTATGTAAGTTGAAGACAAATTTGAGTAAATTTGTAAAAATTTATATAATTTTGTGAATTTACGCGAATTTTTACTAAGCTTACGTATTTTTGTGAGATTATTTATATAAGTTCGTTAAAACTTATGTAATTTTGTATTAGGTTTGCATACGACATGTATTGCACCCTGAAGAATTTTCCAAAATAATTAAATGGATTCTATGTTTTGCGTTTTTATTTAGTTTTTCAGTTTTTCGATGGCCATGTCATTGAAATTTCATGATTTTTTTTCTCTTCTTTTTCAAAATTTCACATTACTCATAGATCTTGTCAATATTATTCTAAAAATATAAATTTTACCAAAAGTGGAGATGTAAATCCAAAGTTATTAAATTTTAAAATTACTTAAATAATGTAAAAAGTCACAAGAGAGAGAAGCAACTTTATGAGAGCATAGATTTTTAAGGTTATGAGGACATTTTGGATAATATACGTTAAAGTTTGACCTTATCACTTTAAGATTTCAAATCTACGGGAATTCAACTAGCAAACAAATTGTTAGTATTGTTAAACTCTCACACAAACTTGTAGATAAGTATCTTACTAATTTTTTCTTTTTTCATTTGTATATCATTACTCAAAAAAATTATATAAAAATAAATAAAAAATAATTGTCACAATATTAATTTTTAAAATAAAAATTATTTTTATTTTTAAAAGCATTTTGGTTTAAAGTTTTTCCAAACTGTAGGCTTTTAACATTTTTTCTTTTTATTTTTATTTTCCTTGTTTGTAAATTTTTTCCGGACTTTTTATAATTTGGCTTCGTAATAGGATGGGTATTGTGTGGTATTAGATGGCATTTCTATTGTATGATTTTGGGTTAGTGTCAGAATTATTTTAACACGAACTCAATCGATTTATTATTTCATGTTATCATGCCTTCTCATTTTCAGTTAACCTATAATGTTAAACAATTATCTTGAAAAGATTAATTTTTTTTCTCTACAAGTTATTTTTAATTAAACTAATATTCACTGAATAACATTATTTATAAAAGTATTTGATTTCAACTCAATTCTATTTTGCTAAGTTATAAAAATTATATCCTGTTGGGAAAAGTTATGGACTTGATGGTTGTTGGGAAATGTTCCGGTGTGTGTTGCATATCGTATATAATTCTAGTACAAAATTACGTAAGTTGAACACAAATTTGAGTAAGTTTGTAAAAACTTATATAATTCTGTGAATTTATGCGAATTTGTACTAAACTTACGTATTTTTGTGAGATCATTTATATAAGTTCGTTAAAACTTATATAATTTTGTATTAGGATTGCATACGATATGTATTGCATATAAAAGAATTTTCTAAAATAATTAAATGGATTTTATGTTTCGTGTTTTTATTTAGTTTTTCAATTTTTCAATGACCAAGTCATTGAAATTTTATGATTTTTTTTCCCTTCTTTTTCAAAATTTCATATTACTCATAGATCTTGTCAATATTATTCTAAAAATATAAATTTTACGAAAAGTGGAGATGTAAATCCAAAGTTATTAAATTTTAAAATTACTTAAATAATGTAAAAAGTCACGAGAGAGAGAAGCAACTTTATGAGAGAAATAGATTTTTAAGATTATGAGGACATTTTGGATAATATACGTTAAGGTTTGACCTTATCCCTTTAAGATTTCAAATCTACGGGAATTCAACTAGCAAACAAATTGTTAGTATTGTTAAACTCTCACACAAACTTGTAGATAAGTATCTAACTAAATTTTTCTTTTTTTGTTTGTATATCATTACTCAAAAAAATTATACAAAAATAAATAAAAAGTAATAGTCACAATATTAATTTTTAAAATAAAATTTATTTTTATTTTTAAAAGCATTTTGGTTTAAAGTTTTTCCAAACTGTAGGCTTTTAACATTTTTTCTTTTTATTTTTATTTTCCTTGTTTGTAAATTTTTTACGGACTTTTTATAATTTGTCTTCGTAATAGGATGGGTATTGTGTGGTATTAGATGGCATTTCTATTGTATCATTTTGGGTTAGTGTCAGAATTATTTTAACACGAACTCAATCGATTTATTATTTCATGTTATCATGCCTTCTCATTTTCAGTTAACCTATAATGTTAAACAATTATCTTGAAAAGATTAATTTTTTTTCTCTACAAGTTATTTTTAATTAAACTAATATTCACTGAATAACATTATTTATAAAAGTATTTGATTTCAACTCAATTCTATTTTGCTAAGTTATAAAAATTATATCCTGCTATTATTATTATTATTGTTTTTTTTCCACTTAATTTACTCCAAAACAATCAACAAAATGCATTATATTTTAATTAAAAAAAATTATATTAGCTTTAAAATTATATTTTATGTACTTTTTAATCAATTGGATGGAGTTATATAATATATTTAATCAATTGGATGGAATTACATAATATATTCAAAAATATTATGACATGTGAAAATAATATTAAAATATGTAAATAAATCTTTATTAAACATGTTAACCATTTCAATTTTAGGTTATGCAATTTTCACTAACATTAGTTTCAATGCTGCAATTAAGCATAGGAAGACATTTTTATGATTTTTTTTTAAAAAAAAAAAAACTGTTTTTGTGAAAACAAGTAGAACTTTAATATTTTATTCCATTTAATTTCATGAAAAATACTTTTATTTTTGGATACTAGTATTGATTAATGTTGGCCTCTATAAAAGTGCATGCATATGCTCTGCAACACAATATTTTTTTAAGTCGTAACTAAATTTTTTTAAATTTTCAAGTTTTATTAAAATTTTAATAATCGGAATTACTTTTCAAATAATAATTATTCATTATTTGTGATTGTTTATAAAGGAATATGATGATGTAACATTTACTTTGATTTTCAAAATTTTAAAACATCAGTTTTAAAATTGAAAAAATTGAAAATTTTATGTTTATAAAAGAGCATGATGATGGAACATTGCTATGCAAAATTAAAAAAATTCTCAATTTTAAAATTGAAAAATTTATGTTTATAAAGAAGCATGATGATGAAATATTGTTATGTAAAATTGAAAATTTTCTTAGTTTTAAAACTAAAAATTTTGATAATATTTTCAGTTTTAAAATTAAAAAAAAAATTGAGAAAATTTTAAATTTAACTGGATAGTTTCACTTCAAATCTCGTAAAGCTAAAAAAAAATTTATTTTTATAGAATTTTATATTTTATATTGATATTATTTAATAGATTTCATTGCGTAAACTCCAGAAATATAAATTTTATTAAAAATTAATATGTATAATAAAAGGTTTTAAGTTTTGAAATAACAAAATAAAGCAATGAATTAGGAGAACTTGGGGGTGTTTGTTTCAGCTTTTCAGAGCTAACTTATGACTTTTAGCTTTAAAAAAATTATTTTAGACTGTTTGGTTAAACTTATTTCAAACAGCTTCTGATTCTAACGGCTTATTTTAACTCAAAAAAGCTAATTCTGAGAAGCTGCTCACCTCTTTCTTCTGATTATCAGCTTCTGCTGTGGACATGTTAATTTATGGTTATACTCTTAAATTTTTTTATTTTTTATTTTTTTAAAAATAGAAAAATACTCAAATGGACTATAGATTATTATTATTATTTTTTATGAGAAATGTGGACAAACAAAAAATAAAAATTAATTGAAAAAACTATTTCACAGCTTATTTAACAAACACTGCTCAGCAACTTAAATCTATAATCTAATAGTTACACCAAACAGATTAAGAACTTCTGATTAAAGTCATAATCTATAATCTGCTAAGTTATAATTTATAAGTTGTTTTAATAGTTACACCAAACGGGGCCCTTATCAAGTGTTTTTGGGTGCACAATCACGTGATGCCTAGAAGAGTTGGAATTGGTGGAGAGCGTGTGGTTCACAATTTTATATTAAAGCCTCGTTTGGGAACAGACTAATTTAGTAAATTTTGGTTATTTTTCTAAAATATGAGTTAAAAAAATTAGTGTGTTTAGGATGACTTTTTGATTTTTTACGAAAAAATGTGCAAAAAGTAGAGAGAAAAGAGAATCTTTGACTTTTTGGTATGTGTTGTTGGTTTTTTGATTTTTTTAGTGACTTTTTGACTTTTTGGCTAAATAGGTCGCTTCCCAAACGAGGCCTAAGTATGGGCCATAATGTTTGATAATTAGGGATTGTTTGAGATGTTCTAAATAAGTACACTTTTTTACTTTTTATAAAATATGGGTTGGGTATAAATTGGGTTTGAAGTGATGTGATAGAGAGGTGATGTGACTTAAATAAATGATGTGACTTAAATAGAATAGTGACTTTTTGACTTTTTTAAAAGATGACAAGCGAGGTCGTGAATAATATTATCATGTAATATACTTGAAACACTTAATAATTTTTTTTTAATACTTAATGAATTAACATGGTAAAACAGTTATATAAATAAAAATATTTTAAATATGAAATGTTATATTTTTACTCTATTAAAATTGTGTTTAATTGAGAAATTTATAAAAAAATTAAAAATATATATATATATATATATAAAATAATATAAAATATAAATATATTTTATTTATATTTTTTATATTT